CTGCATTTGTCTTTTGCCGAAGCTCAGACTCTGGCACAGGATCGGGAACGTTGGAAGCTCTGTCTGATGCCTCTGCCTCCGCGACCCGAAAAGAGAAACAGCCATTGAAGATTAAGAAGATAGTTTCCGCTGCGACCCATCGTTTAGGGATCCTTGCATTAAGCCGTGTGTAAAAGAAGACCGAATTTGGTTTGCGATGTTCGCTGTATGCGCAGCTTTTCAACACTTTTGCCATAAGCTACATTTGGCATCGGTTACTGCAGAGTTGAAAAACGAATCGTCTTGAATTCAGATCTGAGTCTGCCTTATTCGTTAATGTTGTATGCTGGTCAATGACCGTGTTGCATGTTGTTACGCACAGCTAACGTTAAGTTGAATGATGATCATGTAGTTGTAAATGGTATGTACAAACCAATGTGCTCGCACAATAAAGATTAAAACGAAAACTAGAGGATATCGCTGTTTTTTTCGTCAGTCACCAACTGAAGTGTTGAGGATTCAAATGTTGCACGAAGACCTAACTTCCTCATCGCACCCAATGAGAGCCAGTTTTCATGCTTGATCGAAAATTTCAGGTAGGTAATGGAGCTCGAGTCCAAACGGATTATCCCCGGTGATGACGTCAAACCCGCAAAATGCGAGTCAGACGCGATAAACATGGATTAGACAGACGTTTATTAACATGGTCGGCAATTGCTATTGAATAGCAGCACATAACGAATTGCGACTAGAACAAGGCTGACTAAAGCACGATAGCGATTTGACATGAGGAAAATGATAAAGACGTAGACGGAAACGCTCGGCAACGCTGGCGGATTCGGCAGCGACTTCGCCTGGTCAGTGAGTGACTGGACTAGCATGAATGTTGCGCAGAATTGCAATGTTCGGAAATGAGGAAAACGTGTAGTGCTCCGATACAGGTTTAACAAACGGTACACAACGGCGCCGGCAATGTGCTTCGCTCAGTTCGCTTTGGAACAGGTCGTCGACTCCAAGTGCTTGGTCATATAGCTCTTTAACGCGAAGCTCTTGCTGCAGCGCGAGCACCTGTGACGTTTCAGGCTGTTGTGCGTTTGGATGTGAGCCCGAAGGTTGCTACGGTCGGCGAACGCTTTGCCACAGTGAGCACATCCGAATGGCTTTTGTCCGGTGTGAGATCGAGTGTGTCCCTGCAACAGCCACGGTCGGCTGAACGCCTTGCCACAAATCTAAAACAGGCAGGGATAAAATAGCGGATGCAGATAAACGGTGACAACGTTTCATGGAAACGATTACAAATTGGTACCGCGAACGGGAGCCACAGCCAGTGTAGCGTAGGACTGAGCGACGATCCAAAGAGTCACGCCTGAGTCACGTGAAGCGGCACCACACAGTCAAGGTGGAAGGACGAAACACAGACACGTTCGATCGCCTACCTGCGGATGATAATGGACCGCCAGCTTTTAAGACCTTCTGCATGTTTCCGGCCGGTGTCGTGTGCACCTGTAATACCTCTCCGTAGCGTGAACAGTGACCATAGCCCGTTCGAACTAACGGAAACCATCCAATGGATCGATATTTCCACTGGGAGATAACCCATTTGGAGGAAGAAGTAAATGCGTATGAACGGAAATGCTGCCGTCACAGACGTCTCGTCAGTGTTGCATCCATCGTCGTAAATCTGAGACTATAACTTGATAATTCGGCAGTAAGACTAAGCGAAACGTGTGCGCCTAAGAGGCCGGATCCACGGGGAACCTTAGCGTCAGCAGTGACGATCGAACGTTCGTCACCTGGCCGTTGGCCATAATGCAAGTTTGTTGTCACATAACGTTATTATTACAGTACGACTGAACATTTAAACGAAACAATAATTGAGCTTTGTTGACGGCACGAAAATAAATAAGTCAGTAACAGTGCTTTAAATTACGATATATCTTATCTCTCTGTAAAATAGGGGAATAAATGTTTCCAAAAAACTTTGATTAACGTTCGTCTTAAAATGAGGGTAAACTATTGATCGCCTGCTACCAACAACACTCTATATTGTTCATACAGCAGTTATTCGTTGCAACCTTACGGCACGGGCTTGACGATCGGTCAGTAATCGAACCCCAACGAGCATGGGATAATTCTGCATTAATGGATGTCTACCCTACAGATTTAAATTGCCAGATTAGGTCATATCAGAATAGAAAATTATTTTGGCATATTTTTAAAGACATCATTATGGCGTTTGAAATGGCTCTCCAGAGTCATCACCACATGTGATAAATTTTTTTTCCATCTTCTTTCTATGAAACCTTGTTTAAGACTATTTTCTGAACGTCTATATGTAAATCACCAAAGAAGGGATGAATTTACCAACCCGGAATACATTAAATTTTTTACTACCTTTTGCTTTAGGTGGCATGGAAGGAAAAGGAACGTTTGTGACTTGTGGAGTGTCAGTCTTACACTTTCATGATGGAGATTTAGGCGTTGTTCTTTTTTCTAAGTTAATGCTAGGGCGAAGATCTCCACTACCATGTAACCAGTCAGGAATGTCTTATTTTAAAGGCACAGTTGACAACAGCTATGTGACAGGCATAGTGTGCAGTATCCTGTTGCCTTCCCACACAACGGCACTCATTTTTCAATCTCGGAAGGATGAAAGAAAAGTGAATTCGACTGGAATTCGAACCTGGAACTTTTCGCTTCTGAGTTCGACACACTCCTGTCTGAAGCAACATGCAAACTTCTTGCTCAATAGAATTCGTGGTTAAGATAAAGAATACCCTCCGCTGGAATCGGACCCGTCACTTGTGGAGTTCGAAGCCGACCACTTAAGCACTGTGCCACCACGCCAAAGATCAAGTGAAACCGGTCATTTCATCAGGTCACAGCCCCAGTGGCCAAACGGCAAGCCATAATTTCTCTGAAATTACATTGTTCAAGGATAGAGCAAAACTGTCTTCTTGAACCATCCTGGCACCTTATCAAAATACACAATAAATCTCTTTTCCCTAAATATGGCAGTTGTTGGGAACATTCAGCATATAGTCAGAGTAATTACTTCAAATATTTAGCTAGATATTCAGCATGCATCAGAGCTGAATATTCTATTTCCCTCCCATTACCGCTTGTATGTAATCTTTTCCAGGGGCTGACATCAGTTTCTCCTACTGTCCTGCCAGCATAACAAGTAAAGCCGAATAAATAAAATGAATTAGCGTATATTTATCACTCTGACAGATTTGGCCATGTTGCAAATGTTCGAATGGCGAAATCTTATGGAGTGGATCCGATATTTTCTTACTTTTCTAGTCAGCGTGTTGAGTAGGTTCAAATTCTGGGATCTGATCTAATAGGGTACCTGAGGCCATGATTACAGTTTCTTTGGACTGAATATAACATAGGAGGTGCTATGAATACTTAACTATGACTGGTCTCTATTTTTAGCTTAAATTTCGCAATGAGACAACGATAAGACTGCACTCTGAATAGAGAATAGCAGTTGGATTGGATTTTTGGAAATAATAAGCAATCGTCTGAAAAATAGAGGTGACTTCTAGGTGACGCAATCCGTATGTTAACCCGAAAGGCGGATCAGTACAACGCAATAGAAGCGGTGTCTGAACACTGGTCGAAGTGCAAATAAAACACGGTACCAGGATTGCTCAGCAACGAAAAAAAAAATAGTACGAAATCGTGAGTTGCCGTTTACCGTACGAACATGCATTATATCCCACATGGAAGTAACCAGTCGGTTATATCTGAATGAATTTTTAAAATTTCCGGGTTAATGACAAACCTAATTACCAACGCCGCTACGACTACGTAGTCGAAGTAACTGAAAGACTGAGGGCGAACCCTGTTTGTCAGTGTGTCTGATGGCCGGCTACAGGATCTGACTGTCGGCGCCGGATGAGAGCCAGCCTTCGGCTCTTCATCACTGAACGCGTAGAGCCGCTACTACCTAGCCAAACGACCGATTACGATTCGCTGACGATCGAAAGCAGACACGACTCGCCCGTCCGTCATTCGCCACGTCTTAGTCGACCGCCTCTTCAATGCAGCCATTAGACCAGCTCTTTCGACGAGCGATAGCGGGAAAAGTTGTAGATTAAGCTTAAACGGCCTAGCTGTCGTCGGCACCGGTTGCCGACCTGCACGTAATTAACGGTCACAGCACATTTACAGTATCTTTGAATTAAATTACAGTAAGATATTCGAGATATTAACAATAATGAATTCACAGACCGGACCGGTCGCGGGTGCGCGATTGAGCATGCACGCAGTCGATAGCACACCATCTGAAATTCGACATTGTTTTTTCTAAGTAAAAGTGCTTAGAAGGTATCCTACCTGTCTTACCTGGAAGTCCCAGGGTAAGTGGACACCATACCCGTCACCCAAAACATTTTCGAACATACGGTCAGCATTGTTAAAAAATATAAATCCTCAGATCATACTGGAGGTCAGAGGTAGAGCTAAAACACTAAGAGGGAACAGACTTTGATCAAGCTTCTCGTTAGGGTTTGCACAAGCGGAACCGAGCATTCATTATATTTTTTGCTGAGACTTGCTTACAGATATGAGGACAACAAATATATCACGCACATCACTGGAAGGTCTTAACCTGTGCTCCTCCATCTTCGTGCAAAGCCAAGACACCTGTTGCTATAGCAGTGTATTTCAGAGGCTCTAGAAGTAACCTGTCATTTCTCTGATGACTCAACCCAAAAAAGCTACCAACGTGTCTGTAGGTGGAAGAGAAGATGAAACCTGACTAATTTCAAACTTTGTGCCTCAAATACGTTTTCAGTGACCCGATGCAAGCCATACTTTCGTGATTTTTTCCCCTCAGAGAAAACCTCGCAAGCATTCTCGCGCCTGTTAGGGCAAACCATTGCCCTTGTTTTTAAGGGTGCGTAGGTTAAATGCATACAGTAGAAGATTTCTGTTAGTTCTACAGATAGCCCAGAATCTGGTCAAGAAATTGCCCACTTGAATCTCAAGATATCAAAGGACGAAAATGTGCCACAGCATGTCCACAGTAACTCTGGTTAGGCTTAGGGCATTTCTTACAGACTTGTGAACAAGTCGTAGCCCCCAGGCAGAGACAACAGAAAAAACCCAGTGGACCGCAGATCCTACATATTTCTGCCATTAAATCATGGCTGTATGGATATCTCATATCACAGTAACCCTGACTGGCAGCGCATGGATGATAAAAATAATCACTGGCACAAATATCTATTGTGCTCATGCATGAACAATTCTGGTAATCATAAACGCGAAAACCCTTTCTCTAAAATCAGGCATTATCGACAGTAGATTAAATCAGAAAGTGTATTCGATTGGTTCACCGTGCGCAGGATGCTCTTGAACAGATTAACGGGCAAAATAACAAAGGGATTCAGCGGACGATTACAAAGCGAGATAAGTGACGGTTACCGCGTATTCAAGTGAAGCATATGAGTAAACTGATGCTTCTCCTCTAACGCAATGAACAAAGGAAACGGCCGCTCTTGCGGCCATCCGTTCACCGAGACGAAGCTGTGAGGTGGTGACGATGTTGGAAAGTTTCTCAACTGTTAAAGCGCGTCAAAGCTACCAGTATCAGACTCTTCCTCATACCAGTACGAACTGGTCCTGTGCAACGAGTAATCATTAGCACGGTTAATGGCCAGTGGCAGAAAAACCGATCCAAAGATACAGCATCCAGTTTGAAATAGTACCTTAAATCTGACGCATATTTACAGCCAATTTTAGGTGCCGCATAATCCTTTCAAGATGAGATTTCATGGCGTATTGCGGCTCGTCTCCACCATGCTTCCAGATGCATAGCGTGTAGGAATTCAAGCAGATCACTGCTCCATGGTATTTGAGCAGATGCAATGCCAGATGCAACTCGCATCATTGTGCTCGCCAGAGCCAACTAACGCTGATCAAAAACGATGTTTCAGGAGCTGATACTCCTATAATGCTGTTGCGTAAACGCCATAGTATGTTCATACTCGGGAGTTCGTACCTCGGGTATGTCAAATAATAAATTACTGCTCCATGGTTTCACGATGTATATCCTTTAGGCTGCCTATTGGGCGCCATTTAAACAGGCCATGGTAAATGGTCAGTAAAGAGCACAAAATGGCTTTAGCGAAAAAAATGAGACGCATCTGTGACTGCAACTGCTTAAATTCCATGGAGCTGCTGGCCTGCCTAAATGGAAAGGAATAAAGAACTGGGCATTTTGCCGTGAAATTTGGTCTGGAAAGAGTAATGTTTAACTTGATATAATCCTGTACAAACATACTAGGATATTTACACGATAGAAAATATTAAATTGTTTATCGCTGTCCCCACCGGCAGCCAACACGCCACTATGAAAATCGTCGGGGCTATTTAAACACAGGATTTTGCCTTTTATGCCATTCAGTAGGAAGCAGAAGATATGTCAAAGCGAAAT